TCACAATGCACTGGAACAGCTTGGCCAAAGAGTTTGTGGAGTTTCCCTCAACTGAGATATTCAAGAACCATCTGGATGGAATCCTGTACCAGGTGCTCTCAGATAACTCTGCATGAGCAGGGAGGTTGGTCCAGGGTCCTCCAGTGCTCCCTTCTAATATTTTCCATTCTGTGGTTCTGTGACTGTAAGAGAAACTTGATTTCTTGCAGGTATTATTTGAAGATAAATAGGCTTTCAGCTTTGCAATTTGAAGGAAAAAGAAAATTAAAAGACTAGGTGGCCACAGAAATGCTAATCTTAAGTTTTTATTACAATTTATAACAATGCAGAAATGCCATCACCCCTGGTGTATTTCTCCTCTGATTGCCAGTTAATGTAGAAATTACAGAGTTACATCTAATTTAATATTCCAGGATCAAGGAGCAGGGCTTGTGCTGGTTTTGTAACAAAACAAAAGCACTCTCTTTTTTTATGCCAATGTGTGCATAATTTTAGGAATCTAAAATCCAACTCATTCTGCTAGCTTTGTATTCCCCGGGTCTAAATATACAGTAATTTAAGGTACTTTCTAATTGAGATAAAAACAGCTACTTTAAACTTGATGATCAGCATGGAGAAGTTTAATTACTTACAGAACAACTCAGAGTAAAGGTTAAGGTATTTACTATGAAAGGTTTGGTTACTAGATTCTCTTTTCTTCCCCACTACACAGTGTTGATGCAAATCTGAGATTGCCTGGTGATAAAATACAATTGGTCCATGGAGAAAGAAGCCATGGCAAAAGAATTCCCAACTGCCTGAGCAGCTTCAGGATGGTTTGGTTTATTTTCTCTGGTCACAGAACCATGGAATGATTGGGGTTGGACGGACCTCTGGATATGATCTGGTTCAACTTCCCTGCTAAAGCAGGTTCACAGGAACATATTCAGGCAGGATGGCCAGGAACTCGCATGACACAAATATGGAATTTATCTTCATAGATAATATAATTTGACAAGTTGTCATATTTCTCATCTAATGTTTCTAGACTCACTTTAAGACTCATCTTGCCCATAAATACAACAAAGCTGATGGTGAGAGAAAGATAACACAAGTATAATTGTGTAGTCTGTGGGATTTGGGTTTTTTTCCTCTACCTGTCAAAGATATTGGCATTAATTTTTTGCCTTATTGACAAGCTGTTATTTAGTTCTATGCAGCTTCAATAGAAAGGCCAACACCCCTGTGGGTGAGCTTGAGGAGCCTGGTAGAAAAGAAAGCATGAATCTTGTTGCCAAGTTCTTTCTCTTCAGATTTTAGCAGATATTTTGGGATCTGAAAGGAAAAGATATCTTTTCATCTACTTGGAGCTGAAAAAATCACAACATTACTTTTTATTTATTTAGTTATTATTTTTAAAATGTATTAAGGAAGTGCTGTTATTGTTCCTTTCTGAACTTTTCCTTTGTGCCTCCCTCCCTTTCCTCTATCTACAGTCTTCAGTCAGCACAATCCTCAAAATAATGACACAGCATGAAACAATCGGAAACCATGGCTCTCAGCAGTACTCTCGGATGACATTCCAAGGTCTGACAACACCAGGACATGCCCCCATAAACCAATATGCACTAAATCCTTGTGGCTTAAAAACTTCTAAAAAGTGGGGCAGGGTGCTGTGGCATGAAAGCTTCTACCAGAAGCTGGGGCAGTATTCCTACTTATGTAGGAATACTGCCCCAGCTACGCATTTAAGTGGGAGGGAGAAGTGGAGAGGGAGAGAGGGGTTATCTTATCAAAGCTCCCAGTGGGTTTGTGGCAAAGCCTAGTTTGGTCTCCTATGCTAAAACCCACAGATAAAGCCCTTTTGCTCTGGAGAGCTGCTTTTCTGATTAGCAGTAACTGTCAGCAGGCTTTATCGCCTACTGTGCCCTTGTCATGAGATGTACAGGGCATGCTCTGATATGTGTTACATCCAAAGCCTACCCTCTAGGCAAATTGTAACATTCAATATTTAAAGTTCAAATTCAGTGCTTTTGCAGAAATCTCATTTACGTTTTCATTTACATTTTTCAACTCTGCTAGGAGATGAGACAGTGGCATAGGCACCCTGAGAGTACAGACAGAAATACTGCAAAAAACTTGAGTGATGATATTTCCTTTAAAAAAAATCAAACAAGATACTGCTTTACTTCTGCACAGTATTTACTGAAGCATTTTCAACAGAAACTGAAGAGGGTCAACCAATCTTTTCAGTTATTTCTGGATATTTTGAGTTATTTTCAACAATTGATGTTTCTTATTCTGGGAGCTAAGTGGGTAACCAAAAACCAGTTATTAATTTGACTAATTTTAAATAAGCAAAAGAGACAGAATTCAGATGGAAAGAATCTTCCATCAAGCTGTAGTTACTCTTTTCATTGCCATTTGGAAAGAAGCACTTGATAGAAAGCTACTCAAGAATGCAACTGCACAATGAATAGCTGAGTGATCTGTTAACAAGGATGAAATAAATTTATTCACTTTGGCTGAAGATGTTTGCTCTTTTTAAAAATGTGTTTGCTGAAAGAGCTATTAAAATAAAATATTTTGTCTTCATGTGTCAAAATAAGCAGTGTAGTCCATGCCAAAAATCCTTAGGAGAAAACATAAAGAGATTTAAATGACATGGTGGTATTCATTGTCTGCAAAGGAGACAGAACAAATACAGATGGCTGAGGAAATGCTTGATCCAGCTTGCCCTTCTGATTTTCAATTATCTGCATTTAGACCCCTGCAAGCACAGGAAACTTCCAAGCATCTCTGGATGAACTGAATTACTTTGGCCATCACAACTCTTCTCTTTTCACAAAGAAGAGCAAATACTGGTACATAGATCTTCTGGGTAATTTAACATTAGGGATGAAGGAAACACTGTAATTACAAACTAGGCTTCCTTTAGGTTTGACAAGGAAAAGATTAAAATTTTTATCCTATCCAAACCAGAAAATTTTCATGTTTTCATTAGAGAGATTTTTATGTGAAACAAGTAAGATTTGCTGAAGATGTTAAGGATGAGCATGTTGGGACACTAGTCTGTCTTACCGTCCTGAATCTTTAATTATCTTTCTGTACCAGTTAGCTAGGGTTTGGGCAGGTGACCTCAGGGCAGAAGTGATCTGTGATGAATCTCACTGGTGGATTCAAACCTGAAGTACTGGAAGAGATTGTCTGGGAATGCTGTGAGTTCTACATCACCATCAGCATAAAGAGCAAGTTAGACAAGTCAGGAACCATAGAGTTGTCCTTGTTGTAGAGCAGAAAGCAGAACAAATAACCTCTAAACATCTTTTGACACTTATTTCTTATTATCATGCATTGAATTTAAAGTAGCCTTTGTATGTAGTTGAATAATTTAAATGTTCTGAAGTATGTCTTAAACAGCAATTAATTGTGTGTTTGAGACACAATAGACAGGAACATAACAAGGAGATCAGTTCTAGTCTACATACTGTACTTTTTTCAGCTGATACACGTTTTATTACTTTCTTTAAATAATATTTCTATTAAAAATTTAATTGGTTCTCTTTATAAATATGATGTATTTCCTCAGGCTTTGTGCCAAAAATATTTTCCTGTTTGCTGCACGAGGCATTTATAATTATAAAAAGTCACTTCCACTACTTTTTATGAAAGGAATAGTAGAAATTGCAGTGATTAGTAGGTGTGCTACACAGTGGGCTGCCAAGTAAGTGGAAAATTGTCATTTCCAAACCATTTTAATATGTTGTGCAGAACAATTCTCTCTAAATGATTCCTTATAATGTTAAGATACTTACCACCACTGAGAATGCACACTTCCAATTTCAGTAAGTTTAAGGGAGAAATATGCAGCAATGACATCTGTAGTGTGTTCTTCCAAAAGGATTACTTGTATGTAACTGGCTGCTGCTGAAGAATCTGGTCAAGATGAATAAGCATAGCAGAAGCTGATTTCAAATGTATACATGATTAAGTAGGCAGAACTCTAATTAAAAAACCGAAACAACAAACAAACAAAAATCCCAAAACAAACAAAGGACCTCCCCCTCCCCATCAAAAAAAACCACCAAACCAAAACCCTCAAACCTGGAAGAGAGCAGCTTACATAAATAAATCAATAAAGTTGATGATTCAATGAAACTGGATTTTGCGTCCCTTGAAATCAGACAGTGATAGTTTGGTGTTTTTTATAATACAGCAGGAAAAGATCAGGTTATGTCCCTTAAATGCAATGGTGATGGAGGACTGGGCTGAATTAGCATTTAAAGGCATTAATGAAAAGCCACCATAGCACATAAGCAAAACTTTTTCAGAAATCTCATTAGAGTTATCAAATACGCCAAATTCTACTTTTGTGTTAGGCTTCCCTGATTCCACACCTTGGCACTCCTCTATTGTGGCAACTGGGCAACAGCATTTGTAGATAAGTTTATGCAGCATTCTAAAATCAGGCTCACAGACATGAATGATGACTCTGAGCGCTAGGGCTTTACTACTCTTTGCAGCAGAAAACTCTTCAGGCAGCACTGCTGGTCCTGCCTAAACACGAGGATCGGGGATTAACCTGAGCGGCGTCTAAGGCCTGCAGTGAGAAAGCTTTACTTTATTTCAAGCAGTACGGGCTGGCCGTGTACGGCTGCACCAGCTTCGTGCATCGCAGGACTGATGGGCCAGCTTCGCGCCGCTCCGAGCGCTCCGGCCCCGGCCGCTGGCTGGCGGGAGGCGGCACAGCTCCCACATACAAACAGGTGTGTCTATCTAGCAGCCCTTCCCGGAAATCGTAAATAATCCTACCATCCGTTTCTCCCCCGCCGCCGGGCTATGGACAGCAGCAGCCCCTTATCAGCCTTGCCACCTGCCTGGCAGGGGGAAGAGGCGGTGTCCCGGGGAAGGAAAGGGGTTGTGCCAGGGAAGAGAGGAAAAAGAAAAAAAAAAAAAAAAAGGAAAATAAGAAAAAAAGGGAAGAAAGAAATGAGAGGGTTTTGCGGGCAGCGGGGCGGGGGAGGAAAGGGGCCTCACTGAGGGTGAAAGCCCCGGAGGGGCCGAGGGCGCGGCGGCGCCGATAAGGGCATCCCGCCCGCGGGGAGGCAGCGCCAGCCGCCCTCCGCCCGGGGCCGCGGGCTGTGCCCTGTCCTGGGGCTCTGCCCTGCCCTCGGCTCCCCTCCCGCCCTCCGCCCCCAGGGGCGATGCGGAGCCACCGGGGCCGTGCAGCACCGAGGGGCGCGGCGGAGGCGGCGGGGACATGAGCTCGGGGGGCGGCGGGGTCCCGGGGCCGCTGCTGCCGCTGCTGCTGCTGCTGCTGGCGCTGCCGCCGTGCGCGGCGCGGGGTGAGTGCGGCCGGCCGGGGCGGCGGTGGGCTGGGGGGCAGCGCCAGCCCTAGCGCGGGGTCAGGGGCCCGGCTTGGCCCGTGGTGGGGGCGGCAGAGGCAGCCCGTGGTGGTGGCTCAGCCTTCCTTGGTGGCGGTGTTGGGGGCAGCCCATGCTGGTATGCATGTCCAGGTTTCCCGTGGCGATGGTGGCGGAGCGGCACGTGGTGGCGGTGCTGGAGGCAGCTGACGGTGGCGGGGAGCATCCCGCAGTGGTGGTGATGGCACCCGTGGCTTGCTGGCGGAGGTGGCCGTGGTGGGTGCTGCTGCCTGGGGTGTCTCCTGGACACCTGCTGACGGCGGTGGTGGCAGCGACCTCGTGTCCTTGAGAGGGCCTTAGGGGGAGGTCCTACCTGCCAAAACAGTGAGGGGACTGTAGTGCTGGCATGATAAATTGTGTGTTGTGAAGGAAGGGGAGGCGGGGGGGTGGAAACACGTTTTTACCTCTCCTGAAGCAGCAATCTGAGGAGGATACTTCCATGTCTTATCAGAAGGCTCAGGTGTCATGAGAAAGTTCTCTCCGTGGCTGTAAATTAAATTTTCTGATCTGTGTTGGCTGCCATTGCAAGCTGACAGTTTTTGTTTTCTGCTCTTATCAGAAACACACACACAAACACAAGTACATAAAAGCATGAATGATGAGGAGTAGGAATCTATGATGCTTCCCACAGCCTTAAGGCACTCATAAAAACCCTGAAAAAACTGAAACCCTGTGCGTGTGGAAGGGCAGTTTTATCACAGCGATAAATTTGATGCATAAAAAAATACTAGATCATTCAGCTGCCTTCTCCTTCCAGTTATGGTTATGTATTTAGACATTGTAGAGTAGTCAAAATTTTGTCAGAGATGCTAAATGTACAGTGTATTCTTATCAACTTCAGCTGTCTTAGAAAAGTAAAATATTCCATACTTCTGTGTCAAGCTCCATCAGACATCAGCTTGTGCAGTATTAGTTCTTTATTTCAAAATGTAAAAAGGCGTCAACATACACATGCTTTGTCTACATCAAATCCATCCTTTCTCACATTTGTCATTGGAAAGTGAGGCTATGTGTGATAACAAAAAGAGCTTATAAAAAAATTGAGGGAAATTAACATAATGCCCTGAAAGTATGAATGCAAAGAAAAAACCTATTGTATTCTAATTTAATGTATATTTACAGCCCTGTCAAATTATAGTAAATTGGGTTGTGTGCTTCTCAACCCCTTTTAATATAAATTAATTCCTAAAATTAGTGTAAATAATTTTACTCCTAGCAGCATTAGCAACATTTTTATGGAATAACATTTTTACCATATTGACACATGATACAAACAGATTGAAAAGTATCCCAAATGTCTATGTGTAAATAATTGAAGGAAGCACAACAAAACAGAGGAAACAGAAATAAAGACAAAAGAGAAACAAATGCATATGAAGAAAAGATTAATAATATTGGATAGAGCTACCTACTGTATACCTTCTAAACCTTTCTGAAAGCCAAAAAGCTCTTTTCTTTGTTGACAGAGAAGAGAAGGATGGACAAAAATGCTCATTGTAGTTATTTGTTTAATCTTTTCTGTTTATTTTTCATCTTTAGTCTTTTAATACAATAGCTGTCGTTTTCCTACAAGTTTTAAAATTAGGTGGGAGGAGATAGTAGTCTATTCTATGTGTTTTAATCTGAATTTTATCTCCACTTTCAGTTCTGTGCTGTTTTTTTCTACCATGAAACTTGTAAGGTACTTTAAAAAATATAATGCTACTTTTTTGTCCTTAAAGTAATTGTGAACAGATCCATTCCGGACGTCTGTGCAACTTGCCACATTCATGCAACATGCCAGCAAAGTGGAGGAAAAAGTGTTTGTATCTGCAATTATGGATTTGTAGGCAATGGGAGAACCCACTGTCAAGGTAGGCTGCCTGCTTATAAAATGGAAAGAAACTGTAAATTCCTAAAATGCTCATTCTCAAGTAATTTTAATGAATTCTTCTAAGCATGCTAAAAACTTGGTCATTTCCTGGAAGAATCCCCCGTAGAATATATTTGGATTGTTTTTCCTCACCAAAAGACTTGTACGTATTCAGAAGTGTTGTTTAACGTTTTGTTACTGTGGCTGACAATGTCCTTCTGAGACTATCTCATATCAATATGTGAATCAAAGGACACTGTCAAACGCTGTGTCTCGGTGTCTGTAACAGCTTGCCAGTGCTCTAAGGGGGTGGTCCTTCCTCCTCCCTGATCCCAGTTATCTCCTCCTCCCTGTCTCTTACCCTTCTTTCACAAAGCACTGGCAGCTGCTGGATGCTGCGCAGAGTTTAGGTATCTTGTTGTAGGAAAACCATAGAACTATAGAATGCTTCAAGTTGGAAGGGATCTTAAAAATTACACAGTTCCAACCCCTTTGCTGTGGCCAGGGACAGCTTCCACAAGACCAAGTTGCTCAGAGTTCTGTCCAAGCTGGCCTTGAACGCTTTCAGGGGTGGAGCATTGAGGCATCTACAACTTCTATGGGCAACTTGTTCCAGTGCCTCACTACCCTTACAGTGATGAATTTCTTCATAGTGCCAAATCTAAATCCATCCTCTTTCAGTTTAAAGCAATTCCCCCTTGTCCTAGAACTACAGGATGTTTTCCAAAGTGCCTTTCCAGCTTTCTTGAAAATACTCTTTAGGTACTGGAAGGCCATAATAAGGGCTCCTCAGAGTCTTCTCTTTTCTAGACTGAGCAACCCCTAACCCCTTCAGCTTTTCCTTGTGGGAGAGGTGCTCCAGCCCATGATTATCTTCATGGCTGCCATTGGACTTGCCCCAGCTGGTCAATGTAGGGCACTCCAGAGCTGGATGCAGGGTTCCAGGTGGGCTCTCACCAGAGCAGAGCAGAGCAGAGCAGAGCAGAGCAGAGGGGCATTCACATTTTCATCCAGGGACATTTCAGTTGTTCTGCAGCTTACCAGCAGTATTTACATCCCAAATAATTTATAAAGGAGATCAGTAAGGAGAAGTCTGGATACTTGAGCATGAGTGAGGAGGACAGGACATCCCACTTTTCTTAATCTCTCTCTGATGTTTTTTAAATGTACTGACAGATAAAGATGAATGCCAGATTGGAGCCAGCAAGATCTGCGGAAATCATACCCTGTGTCATAATACACATGGAAGTTTTTACTGTGTTTGCCTTGATGGATACCGAGCCTCCAACAACAACAAGACATTTATTCCCAATGATGGCACGAACTGTACAGGTAGACATCACAAAGAATCCTAAGTGTGACAAATCCAGAACTGCACAATTTTTTTTTTATTTTTTTTTTCCGTCACTGTAGAACTTATTTTCTGACACTATACCAGAGAACTTCTGTTGCTGATGTGCTTTTTTGACATTCAGATTCCTAACAGCTATGAGTTAGTTCCATTTTGAATTCTCCTATGTTACAAATCATTGCTTCACAATCTCATTCAAACACTGACCTTTTCAGAAGAAGCAGCAGCAGATAGATTAACAAAATAGGATGATACTTAAAATTCCCCAGATTGTAATTTTTGTGTTTAGTGTAGAATTTTCTTGTTAGTGATGAACTGTTGTAACCATTTAAGAGGTGTCCAGATACAGGATTTTTCTGGAATTGTTTGAACAGCATATAACATTGGAAACTATTTGTCAAGTAAACCAGCAGTAATGTAAAGACAGCTAGTGACAAAATTGCAACAGTCCTCTTTCCACATGCTTGAAGATGAGACAACAATAAGCTCCTTTTTTTTCCTAGAGAGCTGTGAGAAGCTATGTAGAACTCTTCAAGGAAGAGTTAAGCTTGGGCCCTTTATTAATGAATTAAAACAAAACCCCCTGTTATGAAGTGCATCTACTTTTCTCTGAATTTTTAGATGTTGATGAATGTGAGGAGTCTGGGCTGTGTGGTCACAATGCAAGATGTGTGAATACTGAAGGAAGCTACATGTGTTACTGCAATGATGGTTACAAATTAGAAACTGGAGAGCGTTCTTTTCGTCAAGATGGAAACGTAGTTTCCTGCAAAGGTGAGAATCTTTGGATGCTGTTTTTGCTAGCAGATAAAATCACATGTTGCACCATCGTACAATGCCTATTCTGGTCTGTGCTTCTCCAGGACTTTGCTGTATGATTTCTCTGGACTTTGCTTGCTGTATGTTTTTGGTTTTTTTTTTTTTTTTTTTTTTTTTTTTTTTTTTTTTTTTTTTTTTTTTTTTTTTTTTTTTTTTCCTCTCTTCTTGTATTGTTCCTTCCAGTGACATCAGGATCCCGGAGTCAACACCAGATATTCCTACAGGTTCTTAGCAGTGCTTCAGATGTGCAGGGTCAGAGAAGCTTGACAATGTTTTGAAAGTAATGTAGTTAGTTTCTGAGTAGAAAGGAAGTGTGTTGTAATCCAGTTTTTTATATAATCACACCACATAAAGGGGAAGGGAAGAGAGACTAAATAGCTGATAAGAGAGATTAGATGCATGAAAAAAGCCTAGGGGACAGGAGTAATAAAATAACAATTTAGTAGTTTGTTACATACTGTGCCTCCTGCACAGTATAAATAAACAGTTCAGTTTATGTTGCCGTAACAAAAAGAATCCAGAACCAAATTTCCAATTTGAAAATCTGTCTTTAGTGTCAGTTTTCACAGATGCAAACTGCTAGCAGTGTAAGCTGTGGACATCAGAGTATATAATGAACACAGGCATCCCAGGTGGAAGGAGCTGCCTAGATTATATTCAGCTTTTATTTCTGAATTATTGCCAGAACCATCAGTACAACTCACAGCCTGTAATTGCTCAGTTTTTCTGACTGAAGTGCTCCGCTTTGTTTGCCAGAATTGCTGATAACCCTTCTTCTTATCTCACTGACTGGTCTCTCCATGTTCTGTGGTGGAGTGTTTGTACCAATTGTGTTTCTTGCAGAGTTGCACAAGGGAGCCCTGTCCAAGCAGATGTGCTGGAGGAGTGGAGCTTTTGTATGCAGGCTGTTTTAATGAGATGAAGGATTTGAGGGGCAGAACAATTCATTTCAATTTATCTGCTGCAGAGTGCTTCATTTTTCCCATGCACAGGGAAATAAAGCTGTGTGTTGGGGCCTGAAATTCTCCTGTGGTGCTGAAGTGTCATTCAGCTGTGGCTGTAACGAGACTGGCCCACGCAAAGCGCCATCACATTGCAGTGTCTTGTCTTTGATGTTGTGAAAGGCTCCAGCTGTATGTTAGTAAAAGTGTAGCTCAGTAACTGCTTCCCTGTGTTCCTCCAACTGTGGCCAGCACAATTCTCCAAATCTATTATTCTGCTTCTTTGGTAAGCCCTCAGATTCATCAGATCAGGTGTTTTTTGGGATGTGCCATCTAGTTTAGCTGATTTTAAAGGGGTCAAGTGTTGTGATTTATGTACTGTGAGATCTTTCAACCCAGTCTCTTTGCAGAAATCGGATGTGGTTCCCCTCCTGAAATGAAGCATGGCTACATTGTGGGGAACTACAGCTTACTACCAGGAAGTGCAGTTCATTATGAGTGTCAAGAAGGGTTTTACAGCAATGAAGGAAAGTTCTCATACTGCACTGCAAATGCAACTTGGGAACCTGCCACTTTAAGCTGTAAAGGTGAAAAGAGTCTTACGTTTTTGTTAAATTCTTCATTAAGGGGGTTCATTCATGGGAAGTGTGTTTGTAATGATAGTCGACTATTTCCACAATCTGGAAGTGTTATTTCAATAACTGTTTTTTTGCAGAAAAAGAAGAAAATTAAAGGACATGTTAGTGTTTACCTTTTTCTTTAGTGTAGTGACATTTTTTGTGCTGGTCCCTGCATGTTTACAGACACTGAAATGTGTCCTTCTGCCTGTGAGCTGAGGCCCAGAAAACAACTAGATTTCTTTAGCATTTCACGGGAAAGACTACTGAGTTGAAAGACATCACTGACCTCTCATGAAAACACCAATTTTCCTGACACCTTGTGAACTTCTGTCTGAAAGTTTGATGTAGATGCAACAGAGGGCATTGTAGCACTCCTCATCTCTGGGTAGTCTTCATAATTTTAAGAACATTTGTACATGAACAAGCACTTGCACATCTCTGAAGAGTTAAGTTTCCTATGACTGTCTTTAAAACATATACTTGCTTTGGTGTTCTAATCATCCATTCTCTGGCAATATTACTGCTTATGAGTGCAGGATTCTTTTTGTGTTCCTGTGAGTAGTTAGAAAGCCTTTATATCAGTTACATGATACTTGAAGTGCTAGCTAACAGAAGACACACTGTGTATAGCAATTCTATAGGGGAGAATTGCCATCCTGGAAATCGTCACTTAGCAAGGAGAGTTCATTCTTTCTCCGAAGCAGTCATCTTTTTTTCCAATTCTTTCCCCTTCTCTCTCTCTCTCTCTTTTATTTTTTTTTTTTTCCTCCAAGAATAGATAGAAATGTAACATTTATAAGAAGTGAATAAATTAAAATAAGGGTGCTAAAACAGTGTGGCTGGGAAAAGCAAAATATTAACTATCACTAGAAATTCATAAGAAAGAAAAGATAAAACAATTTTTAAACAATGCAAGTAACACTTTCCCCCCCCAAAAAAATAAAGGACAATGAATTTGAAAACAAAAAGGGAGTGCCCAGAGTCTCAAGTGGTCCCTAGAGGAAGATTGTGGAATGTAACTCTTGCAAGTTGTTGATTTTTTTTTTTTTTTTTTTTTTTTTTTTTTGTTAAGGTTTTTCAGAAGTTGCTTTTTCATGTGATTTTTTAAAAATTTCTACAATCAAACAATAGGTCAGACTTTCTCAGCATCTCTCTTATGGTTAATTGAAATAAGATACATGATACACCAAGAAACAGCCAAAAGTCTAAAATGTCAAACTTATTTCCTCCTTGTGTTGCAAGCCCTTTTCAATTAGGACTTATCTTTCTAAAACCAGCAAGTATGGGTTTTTTTTTAATACTAGTAAATGTACCTTTAACAAATTTTTCGTGTATGTGTGTGCATGTGTATGCTACTTGACTTCTTTGTTTAAGTCCTTGCCTTAACAGGAAACTTTTATGTTGTATATTTTGACCTTTTCTATGGTTTTGCATTTTTATAGTTTTTGTAAACTTTTAAAAGTTTTACTTTCTAAAGGCAGTTTCTGCTTATTGGCCTTCCTTTGAGTGTTGCTCATTGTGAATAGTATAGAACCACCTTATCCAATGTAATCAGGTTTGTAAAAGCAGGGGAGTCTAAAGATTCAGAAGAAAACCAGGACTTTTCTGAATACCATCAGCTTGACTGAGGAGGGAGTCATGGATTTAGCATGCTATTCTGAGAGAAACACAGAAAAGCGTCCTTTCATTTGGAAGTAGATGTTTGGAGTAGCTACAGCAACTGTCAGGCATAGTGGGAATATTCCAGAGGACCTGAGGAATGTTGCATTACTACAGAAGAGGGGTAGCTGGTAAAGATGAAGAAATACTTATGTGAGTGCAGCTGTCATTGCTCCTGCTGGTTGACTAACAGGTCTATCTTCCTCTTCCTTCATCCCCTCAGGTGTGGACTGTGGGGTTCCACCTTCTGTTTTGAATGCCCGTCCAACATCTGTGAGTGGGACCACATACAGAAGTGAAGTTACTTACGGTTGTGTTCGTGGGTACCTGATGGCCGGCGGCAGTGGCACTGCAGTCTGCAATGCCAAAGGACAGTGGGATGGCCCTGATTTGGTGTGCAAAGGTACATAAAGTCTGCCTTCTGATTTGTTTAGCACAGATCACTGTTTAAGTCACTGTAATAAATGTCAGTCATCCTCTTTGGGCATTCAGTTTATGCAGTCTTCTGACACAGAAAGTTGCCCCAAAACAAAACACACATATTGAACATGGTGGTTTTTTTAATCAGTGTTTCTAAAGAAGTTGCAATAAATTGTTAAAAGTTAACATTCCAAGAACCTAATCCCAATGTGTGTCAGGCATTGGGATTACCATGAGATGAAAATACAGCCTAAATTGCTGACATTTTTTCTAGTTCAATATCACTCTACTTTTCTGCTAGCAGTTGAAGCCACTATCAGAAATCAAGCTGCTATTAGTTATTAACATACCTTCAAAATTCCTGTATTTGGACAGTTTCCAGCTGCAAATTATGATTGCTCATACATGCTGTTGCTATTCAAGATGACTCAAGTCTCTTACAATGCTATGATTTGGAGGAATGTAGCCTAAAGAGCTCCTCAATAAGATGGAACACAGCGAGACAGTCTAAAAAATAAACCTCTTTTTTTTTAAATCTAGGCTTATATTCTTAGTTAGGAGACCTTAGAATAATTACACTCTTTAGTCAGTTTTCACAGCTTCACTTTTCCACTTGTTGGGTAAGCAATATTTTTTCAGCTTGATCCAGGATCAAGCTTTCAGTTTATTGCAATCAAATGTAGTAATTTTTTTGAATGCTCCATGCATATGTTATAGCCACTCTCCACTTTTAGAATGACCTTTAATATTTTTATTCTGAGTCATGAATCTAAGTAGAAGGTTTGCAATGTTACACAAGAATGTGCTCCTGCATTTCAGTCTGCTTACAGAATGGCCACGGGCAGGTAGCTGGAACAGGAGGAATTTTATGTCTCTTTGCATACTGTCCTTCCATGAGTTAAGCACATGCTTCCATGTGCATTAGTTATTCCAAGGCTTGTTCTCATGATTTATAGTAGATACATTCATATTCATTGGTGTGTGAAAAAGAAGGCAGTCATGATGGTGGATGTATTATCCATTGAAATAGACATGTTTAAATTTTCCTTTAAAGGTTGTACAGATCATGATTCTATAAGCTTTCGTTTTTACTTCTTTGCTTTCCTTTTTTTAAAATAGAATTTCAGAATCACTTAAAATTATTGAATGGTTTAAAAATAACTTTTTTTTGCTCCATATAAGCTTTAATGAGGGTAAGATTTTAGTCCTTACAGTGTTTGCTTCTTATAACTGAAGTGATGTAGAATCTTTTATTGAAGATTCACATTCATTGTGAATTGAAAAGCAGATTTTACCCTAAATAATACTGTTCCATCTATTTGATCTTCACTTTTTATTATTTTTGTTCCCTATTTTTATTATTCAGCCCCCAAAACCTGAGAAAATGAATTAAATTTTATTAGTTCCTTATCCCAGCTTTCTAATTATCTGTAAAATGGTTTGCATAATCTATCTAATTTTCCCTCAGAATTGCTCATTCATCTTGTCTGTAGCAGCATCTTTTTTCAAAACTTGAATTAAATCTACTAACAAAGGAACATAACCTTCTTGATGCTATTCTTTCACGACACTCCTTGGACCATGTGTCTTTTAAAATATCTACTGTTACTAATGGTAGGTAAAATAAAGGAATAAATAGCATGTGGAGGATAAGAGAGTGTTGTGGGAAGATAGACTTACTCATAAAAATTTGCTTCAAGATCCTTGCTCTCCACTTCTAATCAGGACACTTTCTTTTATTTTAAGGGTCATCTTGTAGGGTAAATGTCTCACCCTGCTAGAAGGTCTCCAGCCACAAAATTCTGGGTTCTGATTAACTCCCTGACCTCTAGGAATCTCTAAGAAGTGGAAAAAATTAAGTGTAACTTGCTGGGGCAGTTCATCCCTCCATCTTTAACACTTTGATATGTCTTGCCTGTTTTCATTTCAAGGTTTTGTTTTCCTGTTTTCCTCTGTTCTAGAAACAGACTGTGGCAAACCTTTGCTGATTCCACACACGACAATGACCTGGGACAACTCTACCACTCTGGGGAGCAGAGTGTACTATCACTGTAAAGAAGGATATTATTTCAATGGAGACAGGAATTTTTCAGAATGCACAATAGATCAGTCATGGGAGAATATTGCATACGTATGCAAAGGTAAGTATTACCATACAAAGCTGCTATTTAAATTGCAATTTAATTTTTTAAATTAAAAAATTAATCAGTTCGTCATTCCAGTTCTGAAGTTAAGAGCAGGAGGAAGAATGAGGGCAAGAAACCCTTTCTAATTTATGATGTAGGGAATGTGGTGGTACTTTTGGATGGAGAGGTCACAGAAGAGTGTTAACAATAGAACATCTTCTACTGGATGCCACAGATCTTTCTGTAGCTGTCTTGCTTTTCATCTCAAACAGAAAGAGACTAATGTAACAGGAGTTTTATTTCTTCACTGAGGGCCTTCAGCTTTAGAAGCCTATGGAGTGTCACCAGAGGGGCAGAACATTTAACAATATTTTCTTGTTACTCTAATACTGTAAAGTTGTCGTGGGGTGACAGCCTTTATCCCAATATCGTGTGTTGTGTCTGGCAGCTGCGCCTTTTCCTCCCTCGGCCGTCTTGCCGCGGCGGGGCGGGGAGGGAGGGGTGTGAGTGTGACCGGGCACCTTGGCTTTGGCATTTGGCTGCTTGGCTTGGCTGGCTTGCTTGCTTGCTTGCTCCTGCCTCGGCTGCTAGCTGATAGCTGCTTTTTTTGCTGCTTTCTGCTTTCTACGCTGTTTTTTTTTCTTTTTCTTTTGTTCCCTCTTTCTTACCCTCCCCTGAAGACATTGGACCGGCTCCGGACCTGACCTGGGACGTCCAGGACCCCCGGCGTCTGTGAGAGAAGCTCAGTGCCCTCCACAGCACTGCCTGGTTTTCTTTTCTTTTCTTGTGTTGGGGAGTGTTCTTTTGTTATTTGTTAATAAATAGGTTTTGTTTTCCACTGTGCTCCTCCAAGGAATTCCTTCCCGAACCCGGTATTGGGGGAGGGGTAGTTGGTTTTTTTTTCTTTTTAGGGGGCTCCCTTCTGGAGATTTCCCCTAATTTGTCCTAAACCAGGACACTAGTTGTTATATCATCTGAGAAAATGAGCTCTGCCACCGCCATCTCTCTCAGGCGTTGGATTCCCTGTTCT